GGAACCCCTGCATAAAGAAAAGTTGGGAAGGAAAACGAGAAGAAATCATGCAAAGTCAACACTATCAACCAAAGATGTACCTATATACCTGTGACATGCAAATGTGTCTTGCACACACGCAGCACTGTCCACCTAATGTTAAATGCCCTGCATTTGGTGAGAAAGGATCGCGAATAACATATGCATCTTCCAGAAGTCTGCCATGAAAGAGAAGTAAGAAAGTTTCTTCTGTTAAAAGCGGAGGAACGCCACCCTCGATCTGTACCCTACATCGTTATTTCCGCTGATAGCCATTCAACATGCTGATTCATATTCAAGAAAATCAGCTTGAGAACTTTTGGGGTTGCCCTGGAGGTTTTTTAAAGCTTCGAAATGATCGCCGCGCGCGGGAGCGCGCCAATGACATCACGAGACGCTGAAATAACGTTCGGAAACAAAAAAATAAAAAAACATGAACAAAAAAAATAATATACCTACACCACTGATTTGGAGAAAGGTGGCTTTTTTCCAAAATATTCATAATTACATTGAAATCCACAAGACGCGCACGTAAACGTTGGTTTCTCAGCGGTACTTTCACTCCTATTTGCAGCCATGTTTGCCATGTTTATATTCTGCGCCAAAAGTGAGCCCGCAGCTCTTTAAGGCAGCTGAAAAAATAAGTTCTTATTGACGTACTATGAAAAATGCGGGAAATGTCCAGTTGGTTCAAAACGTAAAATGGCGGACGATCAGCGAAGAGTAACCCAATTTAGACCGTGTATCGATCTACACGATGGAAAAGTTAAACAGGTCTGTTTTAAGGAACGGTGTCGGCATTTTTACTCAACTGATGGTAATTTCTCACCATTTTCCTTGGGTTTCAGTTAGATTGTCGGTGGCACTTTGACAGACAACGAGGAGCATCTCCAAACGAATTTTATCGCCAGGTAAATGCAGAGGGAAGCTTAAATAAATAAAATGCCTCTTTCATTCCAATTCACGTCTTCTGTCTTAGGAAGGTGTTTAAAATTAAGATCTGTATCATATCTCAGTGCGAATGCGACCTCTAGCAAGATCCGGTTATCTCCCATGCAGGTCAAACCACAGGGAGCCCACACAAGCGACGTGTTTGGTTGTTTGTTCGAAATATAAAGAAATGTATGGGAGAATATTGAAGAGTCGTAATATCGTAAACTTATATCAAGGAATGTCTATGTTAAGGCTCAAAATAAATGTAAACCTACCTCACTTGCTGTGTATTGTCGTTTCTGTGGTTCCAAATGGCGAATTTGAGCGATTTGGTGGGTTTTGCGTTTACTGCCTATAACGTAAAGTTCTTCAATATTCTCCCATACATTTCTTTATATTTCGAACAAACGACCAGACACGTCGCTTGGGTTTGAACTGCATGGGAGATACCGGATCTTGCTAGAGGTCCCATTCTCCCTGTGTTCAAACATAACTACGTACATTACCGGTAACCCAGGAGTGATTATAACGCAACTTCTCCCTATAATATCTATACATTACTTGGCAAACAGTTAATGAGAATAATCAAACTTATCAGGTAGAAGTTTTGATCTTGATGTTATTCCAAATTCTCATAACTTAGTTACAAGGAAATGTCTAGCAGCTAGTGGGAAGAATTGGCAGTCAGGTCTGGTATTTGCTCAAAGTAAATAAAACCAAGATTTGGATCAAATCCACTCAATGATAAAATTCTTTTGACCAAGATCTAGATTCTCCAAAGAGGAACAAAGCGTTCTTCTTTGATGTGTTCTCGATTACCGAGATCAACTTTAATATGGAATTATGACGCCACAGACCATTTAGAGTTTCCTTTAAAACAAATCAATTCAGAGATAATTTGGATATATCAACAAAGTTGAAATGGTAAATTGGCCTCCGTAATGATTACAAAAGCTGACGTTTCGAGCGTTAGCCCTTCGTTGAAGCAAAACCCACAATTCCTCTATTCGCTCCGACGAAGGGCTAACGCTCGAAACGTCAGCTTTTGTAATCATTACGGAGGCCAATTTACCATTTCAACTTTGTTGATATATCCAAATTATCTCTGAATTGATTTGTTTTAAAGGAAACTCTAAATGGTCTGTGGCGTCATAATTCCATATTAAAGTTGATCTCGGTAATCGAGAACACATCAAAGAAGAACGCTTTGTTCCTCTTTGGAGAATCTAGATCTTGGTCAAAAGAATTTTATCATTGAGTGGATTTGATCCAAATCTTGGTTTTATTTACTTTGAGCAAATACCAGACCTGACTGCCAATTCTTCCCACTAGCTGCTAGACATTTCCTTGTAACTAAGTTATGAGAATTTGG